AAATGTGCTAAATTAGATGAACCATTTCCTGTATTATATACTTGAATGTGTAATATAATATAATATAATATGAACATGGAATTTGGCTTATTTAGTTTTATTTAAATTACTCTATATTGATACCTGAGTCCCCATTATCTACAGCTAATTTACACTAAAATGAAAACAACTGATCTGAGAATAATAATATAAAGTTGCAATCCCTTGCATTAGGAGTAAGCTTCATTATCTAATAAACTTACTAATAAGAAAAAAAGGAATAAGCTTGCCCAAAGTTTATCTAATAAACTTACTAATAAGAAAAAAAGGAATAAACTTGCCCAAACCAGAGAAATTAAGAAATAAGCAACTGTCTACAATTTCATATTGTTTTAAAATTATATATGTATATGTATATGTATGTGTGTATATATATGTGTATATATATGTGTTATATATATATAACATCTAAAAATCAGAAAATTATTGAGTTTATTTCTTTATATTCTATTAAACTAGGAATTTATATTGTTCTCTGTGTTACTTGACAAATAAGAAAAATACAATTTATATTACTTATTTATCAGTTCAAACTCCTCTAATGAAGAAGTTTCAGTATTTCTTAAAATTATGAATGGCAAAAAATGCATTTTTAAATCACTGGAAATTTTGGTATAAAGAAAACTTCTAATATTGCATAGAATAGGTTATTTACAGAAAAATATTTATTTTCTTAAGCTCTTATTCTATATTTTAGGATTTAGTGGGAAAGTTAAAAGATGCAGCTAAAAGTCTAGAAAGAACAACTCAACTATAATTACAGACTTGACAATCAACTGGATTGAAGAAGAAAAGAAAATGCTTCTTTGACTATATGATGATCTTTTTTTCCTGGTTTTATTTAATGGAACTGTGATATATGTTTGAGCAAACAGAAATGGACTTTTTACTTTCTACATAACATTATAAGTTTGTGTGCAATAAAAACTATTGAGCTTGTTGTTTAACTGTAACATATCTGTTTAGATAGTAATACACTTTTTAAATATCTGCTTGTGTCTCAGTTTTGCCCTTTTCTAAAATAAATCTTTGATTTCACCATTTTTACTTTTATCATCTAATAAACAAAATATAAATCTAATTTGTGTGTCTTATCTGACTATAATAATGGGTTGGAGGGATTGGATTCCTAGCAGTTATATTATTCCAAGAAAACCCACTCAATAAAAACCATGTTAAAGAGATGTAGAGTTCTGGGTTTAAAGTCATTCTACTGTAATAAAGTTATCACCTTGCTTGCACCTCATTTGGTGAAGGCCAATTCCTGCTATTCCCCTCCCCCCCTTTTAATGTTGGAGTTATTTATGTGAAAAGTTGAGAAGATTCTATCATTCATCTGCCTTAGCTTGGTTTACTTATTAATATTCAATCATTTCTGCAAATAGAAAATAGTTGGAGTGTCCTGAATTGCAGCAGTTGAATGATTATAAATAGAATATGATCAGTCTTGTCTCCATGGCTCAAAAAACAAAACAAAAAATCTTATCCCCAAGTTGCAGTGTGGGCTAAACTTATTAATTATACCCCTAATCTAGAGAGCCAGCAATGTCAATCTGGAATATTTGGAGAGTGGGATGCACAAAGACTTGAGTTCTCATTTTCCTTCCATCTTGTAAGTGGTCTTTGCTATGTGGAGAGGATGGGAAATCTAGATGAGCCAGTTGTGAGATGAGCCAGTGTCTTCTATAAGGATGCAGAAGCAAAGGAATTTAATCTTGTCTTATGGTGCCACCAAGCTAGAAAAAGCTTGCTATATATATATTGGTCTTCACTCTGTGGTGTAGTAGAAAATATGCTCTGAGGCACAAAAATGGCTTGCTAGGAGGTAGAAGGAAACTCAGCAACCTAGCTCTGATTCTGTTACTTTTTAACAACAACAGAAATCTGCCACATAAAGGTTGCTTGCTTAAGGATGTTGAATAACCTGTCATTCATGGCAGTGGTCCCACTAATTCATCATACACAGTGAGAAAAGTATAATCATCCTCATCTTCATAGCCTTGAGAGTGTGCAAACAATGGAATGCCTTAGCCTAAACTTTCCAGCTCAGGGCATTAGCCACCCTGAAAAATTTTAAAGTCCAGAATATCTGGAGAGAACTACATCTGCAATAAAGCAGGAAGAAGTTCTTTACTTCATATTTTGTATTCCCTAACAGGATTTTTTTTAATAGATGAGAAGAACAGAGTGGATTTTTTTAAAAAAACAACGTTGGTCATTTGAAAGTATAAGATAGTCTGGGAATAATGGATTTTCTTTCCTTAAATATCTTGCTCACTACCATCACTCCCTTTTCTGGTTCATATGTTGCTAGATAGCTTTTCATAAACTGTTGCCTTCCAACTGTATTTTATATCTAGCCTTCTGTATGTTTGCAGGAATGATGAAGATTGAGATTCCAACACATCTGAGGGAGAGTGACAAGTCAGGAAAGACTATTAAGGAAAGACTTTTTCTGGTCGATCTTGATCAAGGGAGCTTATAGTGGTTGCACGTAGATTCCATTCAGAGTGCTTAGCCATTACTACTTAAGACATTTCCCTTCCCAACCTAAATACAAGATAGGGAAATTATATAAAAGTAGTGAAACCTATTCCACTAACCACTGCATTTGAATGTGTTGCTCTGAAGTTGAAAGTTAATCAAATCTTGGATTGAACAAAATTGTACAGTGAAATCTACAGCAAGATACTGGTGTGGATTTCCTTCTCTGGTGGAGGTTTGAAACTATTGTGAAATGATGCTTTCCAGGAATATTTCTTTTCCCCTTTCATCATTTTCCTGGAGATGAATATAAGGATATTTTTTAACCATTGTCTTCAGTTTCACGATCTCTGCAGGATCTGAGAGTGACAATATTGTATCAAAACTATCATTCATGTGAATCAAACTGTCAGGGGACAGTGAAAAAGCCCTCTTTCATTAGAGTCTCTTTTGGATGGTTGGTTGGAGATTATACTTTTAATATCAATAAATGGTTGACAGCAGAATTATAGTGTTTGCCAGGGTGCTTGCAATGCACAGACGAACAAGACAGGTTATTAACTTCAAAGTGAGTTTGATAGCAAATCTTTCAGAAAAGTGGATTAATCCCAGGGCTCCCCAATGCAGTTCTTTGTCATTTGGTCATTTTCTGATGCCGGCTTCCTTCCTACAATAACATTCCACTCTTCATCCACCCAGGGATCTACACTATGCATCCCATGAAGACCTGCCAAGATGGAAGAAAATGATAAGTCAGTTAGGAGCCCCAACAATTTCCAATGGTGGCACCTTAGAATTGTCAAGGCAAAAGGTTGCCCAAAATGAAGCAAAGACTATCTTCATAGTAAATGGAATGCCTACCATAGGATTGCTTGCTTCTCAATAAGTGGTCAATAGCTTTAACAACTTAGTCTTTCAATCCTGGGCAGAAGAAGCTGAAAGATCTTGAGGAGCTCGAGAATTTCAAGTTGGTTCTTATGGACACAAAAGGACAAATAGACCAGCTAGACTATGCTGCCACCAACTACCCTCAAAACTGATGTCTCTACTTGGGATTCTGCTATTGTGCAAAAAGAGAAAAGGAAATGTAAGAACACGAAAATATTGTGACAAAGAATGCATGTCAGACAGCGAGGGACGCCGGAGTTGGGCTTTGTGAAATGGGGTAATTGTGTGAGATGAAGTTGCGAAGGTGTGTAGGGAGGTGTGAGAAATTTGGAAAACCGCCCTCACCTAAGTCTTTTAGAATCAGCTATTCGAGACGCGGGGTGCCAGAGTTCTCTGGTGAACTAAATTTATACACTGAAGGCAGGCGGGAAGTGAGAAGGCGTGTCCAAAGGCAGGAAAAAAAAAAATTACCGAGAAAATGTGTGCCTGGGCAATTTCAGGGGTTGGATGGGGCTTGCGAAGGTGGATGTGTGGGAGTAGATACGGGGATGAGGTGATCCGTGCGAGGGACTTCAAAACAATAAGCAAAGGGGAGGGGGGAATAAAAAGAGTGAGGTTTTTTGAGGCGGTGAAATAAAACGCTAGACCTTATTGACCGAAAAAATCCGGAATACTCGTTCGTGGCACTTTGAGAAGGGGCAAAAAACGGAGGAGGGAAGAGGGATGAAGTAGTATGCGAGAGAAGGGAAAAGAAAATAGACACCTGGGGAGAAACGATACTGGGCTTGGACTTTGCGGGGGCAGGGGTAGAATAAGACAGATGTATCTTCTATCTTCAGAAGAAGACAGATGTATGGAGAAGGGAGAGTTTGATTCTGTCTTGAATCCGTCTCAGATGAAAAGGTTGTGATTCAATAGGAAAAGAAAGGACTCGGAGATCTTGGCCCAGGTAAAGAACTTGTGGAAAGGAGGCGTAGTGCTGAGCTGCGCCAGAAGGGAGTGGGATCTGCGCCGGGGCTGGAGAAGTCGCGCGCACCTGGGAAAACGCGGCCGGATGCCAAAGCGGGAAAATCCGTTCTAACGGAAAGGAGTGAAGGTGGAAGGGCCGAGATGACGCTCGGGGTTGATGGTTTCAGCAGCCAGTTTCCAGCCCAACTTTCATAATATCATTTGGACCGTCTTTCTAAGATTTCTGAGGTGCCCTAACACTGAGGTGCCCAGGAAGGCGTAGGAGGTGGAGGAAGAAAGCTCGACCTAGATCGTTGTTGTGGGAGAAGAATTCCAGAGTCTAGGTGAGGGTGAGAACAAACTGTAGTCTGGGGGCAAAGGAGAGGCTCTGGGGAAAGGCGCTGAGGTGGAAACTGGCGTGCCACACAATACTGGTTGTTAAAATGGTGGGCAACCTTTTTCAATGTGTGTGTCTATGTATGTGAATGTGGCGCGCGAGCCAGTCTCTCTCTCTCTCTCTCTCTCTCTCTCTCTCTCTCTCTCTCTCTCTCTCTCTCTCTCTCTGTGTGTGTGTGTGTGTGTATGTGTGTGTATGTGCGCGCGCGCCCGAGCGCGCGCGCCCTGAAAGGGAGGCAGGCTGTAGGAGAAAGGATCAGAGCAGCCTCAGTACCAGAGGCTCGGGGTGGAGAGACTGAAGCCAAAGGTCTGTCTGTGGTTGCCGTCACTTTATTACGCCTTGAAAAGAAGGGGGTGGAGGTAGGTTTTTGTATGAAAGGGTAGATTTGGCCAAGAACAAGAGAGGAAAAGGGAGAAACAGAGATCTCTGTGTGCCCTTGTTAAGCGAGAAAGGGATTGCTCGCGCGAGGTGACAGGGCGTGTAAAATCGGGAGAGAGGAATGAGCACCGAGTGTGTGTAGCGCGGGGTAGGTGTGCAAGCTGGAAGGGGGAAGGAAAGGAATAAGGCATTGTACGCGCGTGAGTGAGTGCGCGGGGCGGGGGTGAGGAAGAGCGGGAGGCAGTGGAACAGGCAGCCGCGTGAGTGCCGCGGAAAAAGGAGGACTAGCGAAGTATGTGCGCGCGCGCGTGTCTGGAGGGGGGAGGCGGAAGAGCAGGCGGAGGGCAGGGAGAGGGGGAGGGGAGGGCGGCGCACGAGGGGGGAGGAGGCATCCGAGTCGCGGGATTGGGTCACAGGGAGGCTGACGGCTCCGACTACACCGACACTAATTCCCAGGCCACCCTTAAGGAATGAGGAGTCCCACGTGACGCTGGCGGGGCGGGCGAACTCTGAGCCATTTTGGTTACGGTGTCAGTTTCCACTGTGCGCCTTCAGTGCTGCGTTCCTTCCACCACCACTCGCTTCTCCACTATTCTACCTCCCCGCCTGTTCCTTCCACAGCAACAACTCTGATATAATTCAAATATTTGCAGATTATTATTATTATTTTTACAAAGAGGAAAGTGGAGAGAGAGAAAGAGCTCTCTGGAAGAGAAGAGAGGGAAAACACAAGACCGGGGCGCGGGGGGTGGGGGAGGCGACCGATAGACGGAGCCGGGAGGAGGGCTTGGAAGCCGGAGAGACAATGGGCTGGTGGTGGTGGTGGAGGAAGAGTGGCAGTCCAGACGGGCCGGGGAGATTTTAAGAGCCCTGCATTGGAGCTACGCATTTTAAAGAAGAGAACAGCCAGCCAGGAATTGGGAGGGTGAGCGAGCGATCGAGGTAGGGAAAAGAGGAGAGAGAGTAAAGGAGACGCGGAAAGGAAGAGGAAGGGAAAGGCAAGCGGACACGGAGTGAACCCGAAGGGGAACCACCCGGCTGTTTGGGGAACTAAAAGGAGCTCGGCGCGGCGGCGGCGGCGGCGGCAAAAGCGACGGCGGCAGCAATACGCTGATTGCAACTGACAGCGCCTGCAGTTCGTTTCAAGATGGCCGCTTGGCTCACATTCATTTTCTGCTGAACGACTTTTAACTTTCATTGTCTTTTCCCGGCAGCTTTGGCCGTCCCCCGGCAGCGCCTTTCCGCGGGTAGGTATGCAGGGGCGCGCTTTCTAGCCGAGACCGGAGGGTGATGGGGACTTCGCGGCGGTTTTCTCCAACGGGGGGGGGGGGGGTGTTGGAAAGGCTGCGAGGGGGAGCTTCGGTGTCCCCGTGCTCTCCGTATGGGAAAAGCGCTGACAGTCTCGGCTCCAGCCACAACGCACCGCGGTTCGCTCCTCGCGCGCGCGCCCGGAGACCGGCAGCGGCGGCAGTAGCAACCCAGGCGCTTGGTTTCATTCCGCAACCAACGCTTGCAAATTTTCGTTCCCTTTCCACCGGAGCTCGGTCGTAGAGCCCTCCTGGATGCGCGGCCCTGAAGGAGGATGTTTGTATTTTCGGTTGCGACTAGCCATTCAAGTCCAGCCCTCTTGGTTTATAGGCAGATTTCGATTGAAGTGCGACACTTCATGAAATCTTGAGCTGCCTTGGTCACGGGATGGCGATCGCCTACGAAACAAATGGGTCGGCGGGGGGTTCAAAAGCCACCTAGCGCTCCCATTTTATAGGGATGAGTTCCACGGGGGGTTGCGATCTTGCTGGAGGGTTCGCTGAGCCGTTGGGGGTCTCCGGAGAAATGTTATTAACTTAAGTTCGGCCAACACTTATGTGGCGTGAGATAACTTGTTAAGATGGCGGTTCTCTTTTAGCGTGTCCTTTCACATTTGTGCTTAAAATGCTGAAGTTTCTTCCGGGCTTTGGAAGAGAGGAGAGAAGGTTGACGCTGGAAATCTAACTTTGATGAGGGAAGTTACCGCTTGTTTAATTCTCGGAGTTCTTATATCCAGATTGAACGTGAGGGAGAATTGGGGGACCCGAGTCAATAGGACTTGCAAGCACTCCGATTGCAGTTTTCTATTATTTAGCCAAGATTTCGCCTCTCCCTCACACATCTTATCCTTCCAAGTTGAATAAGGGAAGGTTAACTGAAACATCTTGTTAGCCCAGATGTAATGGCTTCGGTCCTGGCTCTAAGGTGGGAAACTTGGTTCGTGTAAAATCTCTCGGCCTTGACAAAGTATACCCTGCTGCAGCTCAGCTTGTTTTGTTGTTTTAATGCCTGGTGGGAAATAACTCAGGGGCACCTAATCCAATCTTCTCTCCCTGCAAGTAACCTTTCTCCCCAAATGAAAATTTAACCACATGATCACAGCCTTCTTGCCCACCCTCTACTTGAGTTTTTGTTAGCCTCCCTCTATTCAATACTTCTTTGTTTCAAATGGTCCTTCTTGGCATTCCAAAAATAAAACTTTGAAGCGTAGGGAAAGACTTTGTGGTAGCTATGTATTTCTCTGCTCTGGTCGCTGTAAATCAGAACTCATCTGTTAATACTATAGAGCTGGTTAGTGCTGAGCCTCCCGACCCAATATATTCAGCATTTACCTAGCCAGAAAGGAACTGGCTCCTGCCTTTGAGGAGACCAGCTGGAGAAGTCCATTCACTGAATGCAGGGGTTTAGCTGGAGAGAATATGGATTATACTAAACATACCAATTTCTTTCTTGGCTGGGACTCAATGGATCCATACTTTTGAGTTGGCCACTCTTGCTCAGGGCTCACCTTTAAAACTAAGCCTAATCACAATTCAAGGCATAGTGGACCAGATTACATATCTGCCCCTGCAAACCTAGTTATTTTAGGTAGCCTTGGTGAATTGACACATCAAGTGTCTAGTGCTGATTAATTTCTAAAACATCTATCCACCAACTCTCTATAGTTTTCTAAGTTGAGGTAACCCATGTAAGGCCGCCAAGCTTCAGCTGGCAATGTTAACAAGTTTTATCACTCCCTGTTTTCTTGGTGGAATACATGCCTTGGAAGGGGAAGGGGCTGAAAATAAAATACAATATCTTGTGTTAAAGGTCACTGTGTCTTGGCTACAGAAAGGTATAGCATTATTGTAAGGAGATGGGGGACTTGAGGGAGAGAACACGAGAGAATAACAGCACCAACTCTATCCCAAAGTTAGTACTTTGGATAACAAGATGCCTGTTTTGTTTGTGAGTGTATATAAATGAGTGCCTGGGAGTTGCTGGTATTTTTCACTGATGCATAGCTTTGATTCAGGATTGTTGGTTTAAGAATTCAGTTGATACCTCCAAGGAGATCCCGGAGAAGGGGGCTAACCTAGGTAATAAATAATAAGCTTTGAGCAACTAAGCTTCACGCTTGATTTGAGTTTTCTCCTGCTTAGGCAGAGGCTCTGTTTCCCTGAAATGAAACATGTGTTTGTATTTTCTGACAACTGAGTTGTCTCCTTCTATGCCTGACTGCTTGGGAAAGAATTTAAGTCCACTGAATTGCTGGACCCTTTCTAATATACTTTTTGGATAGTGTCCTGGATTTACTGCATCTTAATTTGAACAAATAGACGCGTTTTATCATGATGGTGGTGGTGATGATGGGGGTGGTGGTAGTGATGAGAAGGACTCCAATTATCTATTAAAGGTTTGGGGTGAATATTCTTTATTCATATCCTGAAGAATGCTCTGGAACCAGAGGGAGAGGTCAGGAGTGGAGGCTCCTGTTTTCCTTGCCAACATCCAGCTTTCAGGCCCAGGTTATGGAACCCCTCCTTTCCCTTCTACTTCAAGCTTGTATGCCTTTTGCTCCCCTCTCCCCCGAAAGATAAAAATAGCAATTTCCTCCATGCAGCAATGGCATCGTTCCTTCTCTGTTTTTCTTTCCTTCCCTTTTTTTCCACCCGGGAACATAGAACAAGTGAAGTGGTGGTAGTTTTGTGATGAACGATCCTAGCAGTACTCTCCATCCCTCTCCCACCCACCCCCTCAGTTTTGGAACATTGGACAAGAATTCGGGGTTCTTTCGGAAGCGTCAGGACATTTTGTCTCGATTGCGGTGTGTTCAGAGTAAAATAGGTAGCTCCGTGGTTGCGGGAATGGACCTTGTTCTTTCGGCTGAGCATAACTTCCACACCTCCTTCCCTCCCACCGTAATTTTTTTTCCTTGCCGAGCGGTGGAGCGACGTGCCCCGGGTGAGGATTTCCTCAGACACATGCTTTGCTCTCTTCACTTCCCGGTTGCAGCCCGAGAGCCGCGGTACATTTGCAACCTTGGACTGCCAGAGCGGGATGTACACGGGTGCCCGGAGGTGGGTGTGTTAGGAATCCGGGCCGGGTCTATGGCAAAGGCTGGCGCTCCAACATTTAACTCTGTGCCTTGGCGATCCAAGAGACGAGAAGGTTCTATCGCGCTGCGATATAGGTAGGCGAAAAAGGGAGAAGGGAAAGAAGCAGTGACTGCTTTCTTGCTCGTGGCCGACGTAGGTGGAGGGCCCGAGAGAAACCGAAAGCCCCTGGAGGAGCCTCTAGTTTTCGGCCTGGCATCGACCCCAGAGCAGACTCGGGCCGTCCTCGAGGCCTCCTACTGCCAGCCCCGCTTTTGGCGTCCTCGCTTTCTTTCCTGCGACGCGTCCCCCCGCCCAACTGGACTGCTCGGAGAGGGAATGTTGACCCTCCAGCAACACCCGACCAGACCCCGGGTCTCGCCCCGGCCGGCCACACTCCCGGTTCCTTTCCATAGCGGTACCCCCAGCCCGCCTTTCTTCCCCCCCCCCGCTTGATCCCTACCCCAGGGGCGCCAGTTGTTGCCCCAGAAGGGACTAGGCTTTCTTCCTCGCCGAGCCTCCAAACATGCCCTCCTGTTCCCTGCTCCCCCCTCCCGTTTCCTCTCCAAGCCACCTCTTCTCAGCCTGGCCCCTCCCCGCCCCCTCCCCCCTGGCGCGCTCCGGGTAGTGGCAGGATGCCAAGAATAAGTGTAAGTTGCTATAGCAACCCCCTCGCTAGAACGGTTCCGAAGGCGGCTCGGTCCCGAGCCTCTTGGGTTGGTGGCGGCGACGCGCTAGCAGCCGCGCCAGTTCCTGGGGCCTGCCTGATCTTATCCCGCCTGCTACTTACTACCCGCCTGCCAGCCCTTGTTGTTCCGAGGTGCGGGCCCCAACCGCGCCAGCAGCCAATCAGCCACCCCTCCTTTGCTTGCTTCTTCCTTCCCCTCCGCCGCCGCCGCCGCCGCTTCAACCGCGGCCGCCACCCCTCTCTTCTCGCCGGAAATGCCCAGAGCAACCGCCCCCCGCCTGCACTTAGGATTGCTCCCCCCCCCCCGCTTGTCCCGTTCTCCCCTCTGCAGTCCCGATCTGCGGTTTTCCGGTAGCGCCGCGGGGGGAAAGGCTCGTGGGAGGTGCCCCAGGAGCCGCCTTCGCCCGTCCCAGGCAACTCCTCTTGTGAATATCGCCGCGCAGGGCTCGGGGCAGGTGGGCCCTGGGCAGAGCACTCTGGAAGGAGCCCCCCTCCACTGCCGCTCCTTTGCGCTAAGGCTCTTGGCTCGGCGGCTTGGCACCTCCTTTTTCTCGCCTGAACCCGAGCGTCTTCCCCAGAGGAGGCCACTTTTAGCCGCGGGGAAGTGAGGGAATCGTGTAGGGCCGCGCCTCCGAGGTTTCCCCACGGTGTTTAAAAGGGTCCTCTTTGTTTGTACATCTTTTAGAGTCTCCACAGATTGAACCAAAATGCATCGCACCACCCGCATCAAAATTACGGAGCTCAACCCCCATCTCATGTGTGTGATTTGTGGAGGATATTTCATTGATGCTACCACAATCATCGAGTGCCTGCATTCCTGTAAGTCCTGCTTGGTTGCTTCTCATCATGCAAAGCGGCCTGCTACCAGACAGGCCTCCTGTCTCTTGGTCCTGGTGGAGCAAGGTTGGCTCTGCAAGACCAAATTCTTTCATTGACCATATGGCCCTTTCTTGGCGAGAAACAGCTAATTTTGTTTAGGGTCTGGGTTAGAAATAACAGCAGAAAACCATGTATTGATTCTGCTTTGTGGTCTTATTTCTGCACAATTTTACATCTATATATTTTTCCTCTTGCAGTCTGTAAGACTTGTATTGTACATTACTTGGAGACCAGCAAGTATTGTCCCATATGTGATGTCCAGGTTCACAAAACTAGGCCTCTTTTGAACATAAGGTAGGAAAAAAGACAACTAAATACTTTATGTCATAATGTGTCTTTTCAAATTTTATATTTCTTTGGTGCAAGTTCCTTGCCAATGCAAATCTAAAAAAAATGTTAGTTCAGGACACATTACTGTACTATTTCCATAAGCATCAGTCTTGCATTTCAATTAGTCATTTTTCTTTTTCTATATTAAAATCCCATCTTTATTTTCTATATGTTTCTTTTCTTACTTACCCTGTCCAAATTGCAATTTGTTCTCATCAGTGTGCATATTAATTTTCTGTATTTTTTCAGTATTGATCTTTATAAATGTAAAATATTGATAAAGAAATGCAAAAGTCAAATTCTTTTCAGAAATCTTTATTTAATTACATTTTATTAGCTCTCTTTATGGTTACATCTTTTTATTAAATGCCTACATTTTTACAATGGTGTCAGTCTAATCTGATATCTTTCTACCAAAGCAAAATAATATAGGTAGATTAATAGCATGGATCTAAAAACATATAAAACAATTTAAATCTGGTTAAAGTTTTGGTTAAAAATTCTCAACCAAGCTATTTTTGGTTCTGGAAAGTTATAAATATTAACGTTGGACTTTATATTCTAGATCTGATAAAACTCTCCAGGACATTGTATACAAGTTAGTACCAGGTCTTTTCAAAAGTAAGTAAGCAATTAGATTGAACAACCAATGCAGTAACAGAATGTGTAAACTGGAAGAGATGAGTAACAAAAATATGTTTTCTCTCAGATGAAATGAAAAGAAGAAGAGATTTTTATGCTGCTCATCCATCTGCTGATGGTAAAAAAAAAGATTCTGAGATTATGATTTTGATAAAGAATTACCTTTTAAGCAGAAGCTGAAGTTGTAAAAATACTTTATGTGCCATTTCGGTGCTCATGCACAGCAAGTAAATATTTTATACATTCAAAATTGTTTAAATTCATTCACAGAAATAATTTTAAAGGTAACATATTTATCCTATGACTGATGTTTTCTTTACTCTTTCTGATTTGAATGTCAAAATGTAACCTACTGTGAACGTGTTTCTGTACAGTTGCCAATGGCTCTAATGAAGATAGGGGAGAAGTTGCAGATGAAGACAAAAGGATTATAACAGATGATGAAATAATAAGCTTATCCATTGAGTTCTTTGACCAAAATAGGTAAGTTATAAAAGCAGTATCTTGTATTTGGCAGTACATTCATAGATTTGTTTTTCTTTACTACTATAGTGTATGTCTTTTTTCTAGAGTTGAACGGAAAGGAAGCAAAGAGAAGGAGAAAGCCAAAGAGGAAGTAAGTAGATAGTTGGTTCCTTGACACTTTCATTTTTTTTTAGAAAATAAAAACATATTCATTTTTATTTCCTAAAGTACTAGAGTCAGTTATTCTGCAAGCAGTGAGCATGCCTTCTTAGTAATTACAATTCGAGGGCATTTAAAAGGCTGATAAAAAATAAGTTTTGTATTAGAAAACATCCTCCTATTTCCCCCTCCCCCTTAGTTAGTGTATGCATTTTTTAAGAATAAAATTTGTATGAATTAAATTCTAAAAGAAAAATCTGATGAGCATATATTTTGTTTTTTCTTCATTGAATTTGGATCGCCAGTGAGCATTTAGTTTTCATGCTGCCAGTTTTAACCATGTTTCCATCTCTTTCTATCTACTATATTGGAATGAACCGTTAGTATTAGATTTTGAATGTTGTCTCAACCAAATGCCCCTCCCAGGCCAACAACAAAAGATATTTACGCTGTCCTGCAGCAATGACTGTAATGCACTTAAGGAAGTTTCTCCGGAGCAAAATGGACATACCCAATACTTTTCAGGTAGGGGAAGAACTTTCATAAAACAGTTTTAGCTAAGGTCATTATTTAAACTTTAATTCTGCTGAAAAAAATTGGTGTGTTTGCTTTTGGAATTAAACAGCAGCATCTTTAGATAAAAGAACTACAGAAATGGATTTCAGAGGGTCTCTCTGAATCATTATATTCTAAACCCTTTGACATGAAGGCAGACATGTTCTCAACTGAGTCAATGTATTTCTGAATTTCAGATAAAATGTGTGATGTTTGATTAGGATAATATAGTAGGTGCCACATTGCAGTTGTGTAGTCTTTCACACTTCCATGCCATGTTAAATGAAGTGTAATTTCATATCTTTTATTAGATTGATGTCATGTACGAAGAAGAGCCTTTGAAGGACTACTACACACTAATGGATATAGCCTATATTTACACTTGGAGAAGGGTAAATATATTGAGAGGCTTTCCAAGTCTTGGTCAAGTTGGGCCAGAGGGATGGGAAATAAAAATAAACTCTCTAACAAGGATTTCCTTTCTGACTTTCTTTGGCAGAATGGCCCCCTCCCTTTAAAGTACCGTGTGCAACAAACCTGCAAGAGAATGAAAATAGGTGGCCAACAGCGAGATGGTTTGCACAACAGTGGGGACCTGGAAAGTGACTCTGGCAGTGAAAAAGCTGGCAGCCCCATGGGAGGTGTTCCTTCCACATCATCCTGCATGCTCAGCCCCGGCACTCTGGTGCAATCTCCCCATCCCCAGTTTCCCCACATTTCTAGCACTATGAACGGAACCAGCGGTAGCTCAAGTGGTAACCACCATGCCTCCTTTACCAACAGAACCCGGAAAGCATCCATCAATGGTTGCTCTACAACTTCTTCTGGCTGACTGGCATAAACTCTACTTTCTGACTCTGAAGACTGGGTGCCAAGATTATGGCTTTTTTTCTGCTCCAGTCTCTATGTCTCTATCATATCACACAATTAAGCTTTATAGTTGCGAATTCCACGTGTGTCTATGCCTGGTGGTTAATAATAAGAGAGGAATAATGATTGGGAATTAAATGAGAGGTCAAAAGATGGATCTTTTTTATATTAAACAACCACCACAGCAAACTGTTTCTTAAGGATTAGCAACATGGAAAAACAAAGGATAACAATCCAAATATTTCAAGAGGATTTTTTGGGACTTCCCATCATTATTCTGTTTCTTAATTTGGAGTCTGAAAACTGATGCCTACCACAAACGAAAATTTTGTAAATCCAGATTAATTTCCTATATATCTTTTGGATTATGAATTATGGTTCTGCTGTTTTGGGGAATCTCATTGAAAACAAGTGATTTTTTTTCCTTCTCCAACTTGGAATGATAAATGCAGGACCGAATATGCATAAAAAGATGCGTATATGTAGCCACACCACTGTGAATAACAATGTATTTGCTTTATTAGCCATTTTGATTTATAATTTTCATCCACAACATCTGCGCAACACCGAAGCCATTGAGAAATCAGAAAGCAACAAGTGGTATAGAAGAGAAGGACATTCTATGTTCAGATTTACATTTGTATACCTAAAAGCGGGTATTGCCTTTTATTTTACTGGCTGGTTTAAAGAAAAAAAATTGAAAGAAAACAAGGTTTTAATGGCATTTTGAATTTGTGGAAGAACGCCATATTAGTGTGTAACAAAATAGGAAGCAGTATTGTATGATATATTTATAAAGAAAATAATTGTGTTTCATGCAGTATCGATTAAGGTGGCTAAGTCTCCATTGGATCAGCCCTGACAGATGCTTTGTGGGACAGGCGTAGGAGTAGTCCTACTAAAGCAGCCACCAGCCTTTTCCTATGAAAGCAGGAGAGGGAGTTTCCCATCTCCGTTAACTTTGAAGCAATTGACAATATCAAAAGGATTTCTTGGGCCTTGTCTGGTTCCCAGGATTTTTACATTTAGCCAATGTAATTAATTAATTGTCTCCAATGCTGAGGAGGAGTGGGCAAGGGGGCATTGGACAAAGTGGAGGAACATGGAAACGACTTGATTTTATTCTTGATATTATTCTAGATTTTATTCCTTTTACAGGGGAAAGTAATGGAATGTGTGGTTATTTCCCCCCCCCCAGAAACAAAAAGCACAGGAATGCATATAAGAAGCCATAAAGTATGCAGGAATCTTTTTCATTCATTCTTTCTAAAGAAATCAGTACATTCAAATGAAGGCTTTTTAACTAAATTTGTTTTAATATATATATATATGTATGTGTATGGTACAGTACTAACTTGGTTAAGGATTAACAGGTACAAACGAGTTGCCTGTAAGCAAAATAGTTTTCTGAAGGTATCAGATATTTTGAGGGGGGTGGGAAAGGAAGGCTTGAAATTATAAGTCTTTTGAATCTCCAATATCTTTCAATTTGTGCTTTGCTTTGGTTAAAATGTATGTGTGCTATGTGTGTTCATGTGCCCGTTTTTCACTCATCAGTTACACATTTGTGAGGGTGTTTATCCTATATGCCTATTGTTTCATGTTTGTACAGGGATATTGTAGCTATGTATTTTGTTGTCTCCAGTCTGCAAAAAAAGGGGAAAAAAGCACAATTCTATGCTTTGTCTTGCTTACACTCATTAAATCATTACTTTTACATATACCTGCTGATTTCTTGTGATGTAAATGTTCAGATTGCTCTCTTTTCATCTGCTAAAAGAAATCAAGAACTTATGTAGATACAGTAGGTATGACTTAGAATTTCAGAGGATGGCTCTGCTTAATTAAACTCAGTTTAGTCTTAATTAAAGATCATATTTATTTTCAGCAAAGACCAAATGAAAGTAGCCCATGAGAAGAGGGTGATACATGTACTGTATTCTCTTCCATGCAAAGAAATAATAATTGGTGATTGAGCACACACACACACACACAAAGGGAGAGGGAGAGGAGAGGAGAGGAGAGAGAGAGAGAGAGAGAGACAGAGAGAGAGAGAGAGAGAAATGGATTGAATAAGGAAAATAAAATGCTCTTAAGTCTTTCCCATATAACCAAATGATTTCTACATACAGCCTTATGTAGTAAATTACTGAAACAATCCAACTAAATATGTATCTTTCTAGTTTTTGACAATATTCCTTACTGTACCATTATTAGTGAAAAGAATTTGATTTGTCATTGCAAGTAAGTCTTTTTCTACAATTATGTATTACTGTTGGAAAATTCTCAGTTATTGATAAATAACTGATGATAAAATGATGAAAAGATTACATAAGTGAGATTAAACTATGGCTTTTTACAGTCTCCTTGCTTTTAAAGTGAGTATAGCACACAGAACCAAATACTGAATCTCAAACTGTACGGATAATGCATATAAATCAATCTTCCTTTTTTATGAAACAAAGAATGGATCAAGTAAAAGTCAAAAGCCATAAAAACCCAGTGGTGATAATATTTAAAATGTCTTTGTAAAATATAAATACTGCAAATTGTATTCATATTACAAATATTTTTGAAATTGGATCCCATTTATTTGAGCTAAATGTGTTTTTGTCACATTCATTTAGTATTACAACTTGAATGTGTACTGACAAGTTAAAGCTGCTAATTGTGTTGATGTAATTTACACTAATTTGAATGTAAATTGCAAGACACCATGGTTTAATCCTGATCTGTGGAATAAGTTACAATTGGCAGGGTTTGTTCAAAAAGTCAAAACATAAACCTTGATTTTACAAACCACAATGCTCTAGCTGACAGATCACATTAAGGTAGAATCAGATAAACCACATTATTCCTTAGGAGATGTAAGAGTCCAGACTTGGAAACAAGGAAAGACAATCCATTTCAAGCCTTCAGGTGTGCAAATTCCTATTCCCAGATTGTTGCAATGATTAATGATTCTAATAATGTAGCTTCATATAAATTAGATTGATCTCAAGAATATAATTGTTATTAACCTTGAAGTTTATTTTTTTCTGCAAAGAAACAGAATCATAATGTTAATTCTAACCTCAGTTTTACCAAAGTTTTTCAAGAATTTGAAGATGCATGCCTACATACACATTTACACAAAGCTGTATTTCCAGTAAAACCTGCAATGCAGATTTATCCTCAGGTAACCAACCTTAAAAAAACTACCCTAATCCCATGTATGTACACTTGGCAGAAAGTAAGATTAGAGGTGTATAGTCTCAGCAAGCTGTTAAAAGAAGATGTCATGAATTCAGTATACTGAACTATTATGAAAAACCAACAGCACAGACTAGATACCGGGTGAGGGGAAATAAAATGCAGTTGCATTTTCCATCCTCTCCCATTGGAACCTGACTTGCTCACCACTATAGTTCAAGCCACTTAGGTTCTTACATTATAGAAATCTTTGCACTAGTTATGTGTCACTTAAAGTCAAAATACTCTCACAATACCTGGTTTTCAGTTAAAAGCATCAATCAGTGTTCCAAAGAAGAAAATAGGTGCTTATGTACACATGTAAAATGCTTTTCCCTTATCATACCCAAACAACTGCCAAAGTTTGAGATAAAATAAAAATCTGTAATAGAATGTTACAGGCCTCAAAACCAGCAGGAGATCTTGTCAACAGTTTTCCCAAGTATTCTTTCCTCTTAGTTTCCAGTCTGTAAAATGGAAACAGTGCAGATTGTAGAGAAAGCTGTAAAACAACATATTTACATTGTAACTACTACAACTCTGTGTGTGTGTGTGTGTGTGTGTGTGTATGAGAGAGAAGAAGAAGAAGGAAGAAAGAAGAAAGAAGAAAGAAGAAAGAAGAAGAAGAAGAAGAAGAAGAAGAAGAAGAAGAAGAAGAAGAAGAAGAAGAAGAAGAAGAAGAAGAAGAAGAAGAAGAAGAAGAAGAAGAAGAAGAAGAAGAAGTTGATATATTTCAAATTTCACTGGTAAATGAAGGATATTTTGAAATTCTTAGGATTAGTATTCCTTGGTAGGGAATCCATCATTTTAATTAAATCCTATCTGTTGAGATCTCAGCAGCTGGATTGGAATCCTCTTGCATTTCTAAGATCAAATAGACTGGAGGAGGGGGAGAGAAGACACTGAGACTACATGGCCGTGGTGGTGGTGGTGGTGGTGGTGATGGGATCCCCCTTTGTCCTCCAGGTCATTTTGAGACAGGCTAATGGGAATAGGTACCCTAGACATTCCCGCTCCCTATGGCTTAGTACCCTAAATGAGCAGCCCTTCTCTTCAACCTGCATGCTTATCTAAATAAACTCTCAATTCCAGATGGACTTAACTCTCTTTTCTCAAAACGAAAACAATTGTATGTTTGAAGACATGTCCCCCCCCTTCTCCCCAGCCTCCACCTGAGTCTATTCAGCTATCCATTACTCTGGGAAGGTTATGTTATAATCTTGACATTGTCACATGTGCGGAAGGTTGGAGCCGTTTTCTTCTTGCAAAGGCTTTTGGTTGGTAAATCGAAATATTTTTTTCTTGGAAGTTTGCATTTATTCCGCCCCATTCTGTCGCTTGATTTTCTTTTATCTGGTTTTTCAATTAGAAGCCGATTATTTTAGGTCAGAATTAAAACCTAATTGTCCCAGGTACTCTCAAGCATCACGAGAGTAGACCCTTTGTCTCTGATCTCCGCTGTCCAACGCTGTTTAACAAAGATCTGTGCGGTCACATACGGCTGAATAAATTGCAAAAAAAGGGAGAAAGAGAGAGAGAGAGAGAGAGAGAGAGAGAGAGAGAGAGAGAGAGAGAGAGAGAGAGAGAGAGAGAGAGAGAGAGAGAGAGAGAGAGAAGTGAAAGGGAGTGGAGAAAAGAATAGACAAGAGACACAAGGAAAGGAAAGGAAAGGAAAGGAAAGGAAAGGAAAGGAAAGGAAAGGAAAGGAAAGGAAAGGAAAGGAAAGGAAAGGAAAGGAAAGGAACTAGGAACAATAAAGCAAGAGGACACATAAAGGAAAACCAAAAGAAGAACAAGGGAGAACAATGGGAATGGTAAAAAAAGAAAATAATTTGATTGCGGGACTCATAGAATATCCCTCACAAACACCCAATAAACCTCAAACTAAATGTGACTATGTTCTGAGTGCCCTGCCAAACCAGAAACTGGGTTAATTAGCTAAACACTGTTTCAGTTATAAGACAGCCTCTGAATTGGATGAGAATTGTTCTCCTATGAATCTACAGCAAGCCCCCCGCAGAGAAGACAATCTCTGCCCCGTGAGCAGCAGAAGTCTGAGGTCCCCCTCCCCGCTCTTTTTTGCAGACAGAAACCATCGCGGGCATAAACGCTCTTCTGAACAGAGAGCACATTATTTAGTTTTGCAGCGACCCACACCATTCTCTTATGTTTATATGAACTCAGCTCACACAGTAGACGTATAGATCGTTATTCGAATTTGCACAATTAGCTAACCTGTGAGAGCTCAGCGTTTAGCATGTTCTGGGAATTGGCTTGGCCGAGTCGCTGAAGCAAGCCATCGCCTTCAAGCTTCGCGCGGTTGATTTGTTTGCTCCTGATTCAGGAATTGTGCTTCAATTAGCAGTGGACAGAAACTGGGTGAACTCAGTTCGCCTACCAAACTTTCCTGTCCTGGAAAGCCGCCCTACTGGGTTAGGTTTTGATTCAATTCATGCCGGAAAGGCATGTCCTGCAACCCTCAGCCTCTCTGATGGCTTGGAAGGTCGGGGAAGGAAGGAGCAAAGACCCGGGAGATTGGACAAGAACTCCTTGGGCTGAGGAGGAGCTGCCAAGCCTAGCCTTCAGCTGGATCGGGAGCACCAAGGCTGTGGCCGATCGCTGGCCCCCGGCCGGCCTTTCCTTCTTTTCGCAGAAAAGGCAACGCTTCCTTGTCGGCGGGATTCCTCTTCAGCAGCCGCCCCCTCGATTTGCTTTGCCTGGTCTGCCACAGAGCGTCCGAGGAGCCATCTTGCGCCTGCGCAATGTATCACCGCCGCCCGCCTGATCGGTCCCTATCGGAGTCCTCCAGCCGTCAAATTAGAACGTGGTCGTAAGGATTGGGAGCCGATGTGGGAAGGGCCGGGGTCGGCAGAAGAGAAAAGTGGCCGATGCAGGGGGGGCGGCGGAGGCGGCGACCAGATAGCAGTAGCCGTCATGTTTTTTCTAGTTTTTTGGTCGCTGTTTGACCGAAGGCATTTTTTTGCCTTCCCGAAATTGTTCATTCTTGTTTCTCTTTAATCCAGGAGGAGGAATTTTAAATTATAAAGTGAACCCGGATTCTACGGCTCCGACAAAAAGCATCGCAAAAGATATCAAAATCCACAAAGAGAAACAAAAGTTCCATTAGTTATAGGCTGGCAATTCCCAGGAAGGAACCGCAAAAGATAAAAATTCACGATTGTCGAAATTAGTCTCTTCGACCTGAATGGGTTGCATCTGAATACTTGGTGGCATAGTGCCCTAAATCTCCCTTGGAAACTATTTCGGCGGGCGGTACTGCTTGCCCTTCCGGCCATAAGTCCAGCCAATTTGCTGTGCAACGGGGCACATCTCGCCGCACTGCATTCAAAGCTGCGGGCCCTTGTGATCCTGGGGGCTGAGCCTTCGGGGAGCTGGGTCCCTCCCTCCCTCACTGAAGCTCCTCAGGTTGGGGAACGCCATTTATGTTTGGGGACCAAAGGAGGCGCCTTTCGAAACTAAGAGAAATGTGGT